TAAAGCATGATGAGTTTTAAATGATTTCCAGTAATCTATTTTTTTGTCAAGGAACATTAGCTTGACATGATTCATAGTAGAGGTTGTAATTGACTAAAATAGTCAACTAATTTAGTCAACTAACTTTTTTTTTAAACAACTAATAGTCAACTAATTTAGTCGATTATTTAGTCGACTACTTTAGTTGTTTATTTAGTCAACTATTTTAGTCAATTATTTAGTCAACTAATACTAATTATTATTATTGACTGGCCAATTATAAATGAAAACATTTTTGTGGTACAAAAAAATTTAAAAATAAAATAATGGAAAATAATAAAAATAAATATGTGGAGTATCGGTGTTTGGCTAATTTGAATTTCGCGCATCTCCTCATGATCAATGGAAGATCTTTCCCGGTCATCCCAGAAAGCAATTCGAGCAGAAAAGGATGCGGTGAGTGGTAATCAGAAAGAGATTTTGTCCTGGTATCGGTTTGGGAAGTTGCATGGGGATAAAGTGCTTATATTCTAGCCAATGAACGCGTCACTGATAAAACGGCGAGAAATAGAGTATACAGAGAAGTTGATGAACTCGAAACTGTACGGGACGAGTTCATCAACGTTAACGAAGAAAATGACGACGACAACGACAAAGACAACGCAACAAGCAGCAAGAAAAGAAAAGTCAATAGTGATGTCAACAATGCTGATCCAAAAAAAAGAGAAGAAAAATAAATACTAATGGGTAATTAGATAAGATTCCTTTGTCGTGATAATAAACTCGTTTGGTATATTTGTTTTGCATTACCATTATTAACATTAGGATAATTATTGGAGCAGCATTGTTATCACAGTCGTTCATATCTTCCTTGAGTACATTAGACCAATCTACTCGATCCCCCATGATATGATGATGCAATTAAATTTCGTCTACTGACACTGACACATGAGTGATGTTCTTTTCTCAACAATTCCAAAACCCTTTAATCGGTAGAACCTCTTCCGGTGATAATATAATTGGTAGAACTTTCCCAATCAATAAAAAATAAGAAAGTATAAACAAAAAGAAAGTTTTCATAAAATTTTATATAAACATCAAGATCTATCTCTATATAATGCATATATGCGTACATTTATTTTAAAAACTTTAAATTGTTTCTATATTACATGACATCTATTAATATTAATATTATTAAAATTTAAATTAATAATTCGTCAATATTTGGATAATGTTGTACTAATGCCATTCTGTAAACTTTAATGTATTTTTCCAAAGGACCATTATCAGTGTTCCAATCCAATTTTAAAGCATCTTTGATCAATGCTCTAACAAGCAATTCACGTTCCTTAATATTTTGTGACGTATCTCGCCAATCTAAAACAGCATTGGTTAACGCTCTTTTCATACCATCGATTGATTTTTCAACATCGAACGTACCATCGTCATCATTTTTAAATAATTCAAATATATATGAATTATAATGATTTTTTGAATCGATTTTAGGTGTTTCTGTTTTATTGATCAAAAATTCTTTCATGTTGCCAACACCAGTACTCACTACTGGATTACCAAATAATAATCCTTCAGCAGCAATTACACCAAAATTCTCATGTAAACTAGGCACAAATTGTATATCTGCTGCAGCTCGATACAATGTGCCAAAATCATTTTGAAATTCATAATCATCAATGAGCACAAAGTTACTTGGGTATTTATGATATATTTCTTTCAATTCCCCCATAAGGAAATCACCTCTGTAGCCAATCACAATCAATTTGGCGTCCAGTTCATTTAAATGTTCCGCTGCTGATTGAATAAACTCGAGTCCTTTATTGTGTTGAAATTTACCGATATATAGCACGACGGGACGAGTCAAATCAGTTTTATCCAATAACCCTTCACGAACCAGATAGTTCTTTGCGTTTATTTTTGACATTGATACAAGGCCTTGTAATTCAAAAACTGAAGACTCAGAAGATAGCATTTCTTGTTTGAAATCAAAAATGTTTTGTGGAAAATTTGAATTTGTTTCAATTAACATTATGTCGTTGAATGGATTTATTCCGTTATACCGTACACCATTGGATATTCCTATCCAATGACCTTTCAATGCTTTTTCGATTATATTTGGCAATATTATCTCTTTCAGGTCGAAGTCCCTTTTACCTTCTATCATTTCACGAGCTATAGATTCAGAGATGAAGGTGACCATTTCTGATTTTTCTATTGCGTAAGGAGATGGGAAAAAATTATCGTCATAAAAGTATTTAGCATGTTCTAGTTTGAACTTTTCTATGTTTACAAATCTTTTAAGATTGTGTAATTCATTAAAGTATAAATGTTCATCAATGTAATCGTGGATTGTGTAAACTATGGAAGGTGGAAGTCGTCTGTAATTGCCAACTTTGTGAAAATCTTGCATGAATTTTATGGCTAGAGCATTTGTTGAGCCATGAATGTGTACAATGTCAACGCCTTTGTCTTCAATTGGAGAGAACAAAGGAGTTTCAGCTGACGTATTAATGAAGGTGATAAGCTCTGCAGCTGCTTTACTAAAATACAAATCGACTAGATCTACAGGTAATTTGTTGTTTCGCTTATATAATTGTTGCAAAGATTTTAACCTGAATGCATGATCAAATGGTTCCAAATTGTTAGCGGGACCTATCAAATATATCGTGACTGATCTGATGCTAGAACCCTGTACAACTTTCTCTTCTTCTTCATCATCAAGCTTAAATTTTTTAAACATTGCCGTTAACTTGCTGGTAACATTGAAGTCTTCTTTTGGATCTTCAAAGATATAATCATCATTTTTATCAAATTTCCATACATATTTATAAACCCCAAAATTTACACTTTTCCGTTCGTTTTTATCATTCTGGATATCAATTGATAATTTGGCATATCTGTGGCTTGGTGTATATATTGATTTTAAAAATTTATAGTATGGCATTATCACGCTAACCTCTAAACCATCGATTTTTGCTTGAGACTCGGCTAATCCTGTGACTGTTCTACCCAATTCACTGATTGACGCTTCTCCAAATTCTTTTGTTATATGAGCTATTTTTATGCCATAAGGTAAATCATTTATGACATCTTTACTAAAGTCTAAATATTTTATAGGCTTAAAATACTGTTTTTCTATAGATACGAATAATAATATGGACAGTAAGTAAATATAATTGTGTGTATATATATATATATATATATATATTTATATTTAATAATTATATTTTACTTACCAATTTTTGGTAGTGAATGTAAAGAAGGCTTATTCCAAGATTTTATTTTCGCTATAATTTTATTAGTGCCTTTAAATGCCAGATAAAATAATAACAATAGAAATAATATATTAAATATTCTAAGTTTAAATATATTCAAAATTTTGTAATTTGACGATATCCTGTTTAATTTCTTTTTTATACGAGTTAGCGAGTGTTTCAGTCTGTGATCATCAGAAAATAAAGGTGGTAGTTGTGGTGATTGTAGTAATAATGGTATCGATTGTTGTTGTTGTTGTTGTTGATAATATAATGAGTTGGACCTTGAAGGTGGTGTTGATGATTTAGATCTCATTTTTTTTTATATATATTAAAAGAAATCAATTGCCCGATTGATTTGATTGATGTGATGTCAAATAAAACATGAAATGAATGTATAATCAATTTAAAAAATCGAAAAAAGGAAAGGCAAAAAAATAGTGTTTAAAATTGTGGAAACATTCAATATAAATTGTTGTCTAATATGGGTGTCTGTGTTACAACGGACGCTTTCTATCCAAAAAAAGGATTAAACTTTACTGACAATGGTTGTTATTATTGTGGTTGTCAGTAAAGTAATGGTAATGGGAAATTATTAACTTATAAATACCATTTTTTATTTTCGTGTATGTAAGAAATAAATAATGAATGGAGATGTGAGAATTTGAGAATTAATGATAGAATATGAAAATATATCATTAAGATGTTGTTGTTCAAAAATTCTGTCAATAAGTTTTATTTATCAACAATCACAAATCCAAATCAACGCACCTATCCAATAGAAAAGAGAGAATTGCCAAACATCGAAATTTTTTGTGCTGCATCAATTTTAAAAAATATTTTTTGGGGCAAGTGAAAAATTTATTAATTCCGTCTTTAATGTCTTTAATTAATTATCAAGTTCTACACCAATTTTTTTATGATACATAAAATGAGTATTATTGTGTATAAATAATAATAAATGATACCACTATTGTTGTTCTTGCAGTTTTATTGATTTCTCAAGTCCAAATCTACCAACATAATGGATAATCTGAAAAAGTTCAAAAGGAGCAAGAATCACTTTATCATTTAAATCTTCGAGACCATAAATAAATTATAATAAATGTTATAGCTAATACATAAGTAAATTACATAGGGATTATGAGATTCATGAACATATCAAAAATCAAATGATCAACGCATGATTTTTTCGGGTGTTACAAGCCACAATAATGTAATAGTACAGTAGTAATAGTAACATTTGCAATACAGAGTACAAATTTTAATATCTATATATCGGCGTTACACGCATTTAATATTAAAGATCAAAAAGTAAATTGCATATGTGAAATTCAAATTAGCCAATCAGAATTTCACCCACTCCATAATATTTCAATTTCACATAAGGATACCAGCTGCAACTTTTGATGATGGTTGCTACCACCTTTGCGTCATATAAAAATGATCGCAACCGCCTTTACGACCATTTTGTTTCCTTTTGGGTTGCGACATGGAACACTAATTTCACATACAACATATATATGTATATATATTGACTTTTGTTCTAAATTTCGTTTATTCAGTATAACATCCAAATTTGTTAATGATCTACGTCTTTAAGTCAGATAAATAACATTAACTTTATTTCTTTTTTTTTTAATTTAACAAAATTGATTGCGTTGTATAAACCTTTCGATCATTGATCTGATAACTCTCCCAAATTTTTTAAAACGTTCAAAGGTTATTAAAATTAAACCTTCCAAAAATGTGAAGAAATATTTTTCCTCGCCACTAAAAAATTTGGAATTACCGTAAAATCTGGAAAGATAGCATCCCCTTTTTACATATGTGTAACATTTTTTTTATATTGACGCTCAATTGTTTTAAAGTAGGG